GTATTTATAGAGCTGAAGCTCTAACCGACTTATAACAGACACAACAGTACAACTTAGCTAACTATAACAGCTAGACTTTAATACTAGACTATTATAAGAAGCGTGCATATAGTATTCCTAACAAGGTGAAACAAGCCATAAGGAACAAAACGCAAGATATCAGTGATTTGTCCATACCAGATTGTATGGTAAATCGTGATTTTGTGAGAAGGATCCAAACAATGGAAGTTAAAGAAGCTCTAAGGAAGATGGGACGGAAGAAAGTAGTGGGTCTAGATGGCATACCGATTGAGGCTTGGAGAAGTTCGGGAGAGAGAGGCGTTGAGTGGTTAACAAGTTTCTTCAACATGATTTGGAGAAACAACAAGATGCCACCGAGTTGGAGGTAGAGTACTCTTATCCCCTTATTTAAGAATAAAGGTGATGTACAAGAATGTGCCAACTATCGAGGGATTAAGCTTATGAGTCACACCATGAAACTTTGGGAGTGAGTGATTGAGCAAAGTCTTCGAAGAACTGTGAAGATTTTAGAGAATCAATTCGGTTTTATGCCTGGTCTCTCAACAACTGAGGCTATTCACCTTCTTCGGCAACTTATGGAGAAGTATAGAGACGCTCATAAGGATCTGCATTTGGTGTTCATTGACTTAAAAAAGGCATATGATAGGGTACCTCGAGAAGTTCTTTGGTGGGCCTTAACTAGAAAAGGCATATCACGCAAGTATATCAGCATCATCATGGATATGTATGAGGATTGTACTACAAGTGTCCGTACTAGTGTAGGGAGGACTGAAGGGTTCCATACTACTATCGGAGTGCACCAAGGATCAGCTTCGAGCCCTTTCTTATTTGCCATAGTCATGGATGAACTTACGAAGTCAATTCAAGACGATATACCGTGGTGCATTATGTTTGCCGACGATATTGTATTGATTGATGAGAAGCAATCAGGTCTTAAAGCAAAGCTGCATTATTGTATGACATAGAGTGTTGGGCGGTGAAACAATGTCACATTCAAAAGATGAGTGTGACATGGATGTGTGGGCATACTAGGAAGGACCGCGTGAGGAATGAGACAATCAGACAAATGGTGGGAGTAGCACCTATTGAAGACAAGATGCGGGAATCGCGCCTACGGTGGTTTGGTCATGTGCGTAAAAGATCGAGTGATGCACCTGTCAGACGAGTTGAGATGTGTGGAGAAGAGGCAGGGAAGAGAAGGAGAGGAAGACCCAAACAGACGTGAGTTAGGGGAGTTCGAAGTGATATGCTTCTTCTGGGGTTGGATGAGGGCATGACTTTGGAGAGAACTAAGTGGAGGGCGGGTATTCGTGTGAAGGAGTGATCTCGTATCATCTTTTCCCCTCATCTTTTTTCCTTATTTTTATCCTTATATATAAACATTATTTGCATCCTTTTTATTTTATCATTTTTATGTATATTCATCTCTTTTTATATTATCTTTTTATCACAGCTTATCTTTTTTATCTTTATTTTCTTTCTCTTCTTTGTGGTGGTGATATCATGTATCGATTCATGTTAGCCGACCCCAATATCTTTTGGGACTAAGGCTTGGATGTTGTTGTTGTATTGACCTTTAGACAAAAGGGATGAAATGAGACGACTACATTTGATATCCGGCTAGGGATGGCAACGGGGCGGATCAGCGACGGATACACATAAAATCGAAACCGCCCCGTTGGATAAATGTTTGCCCCAAAACCGCCCCATCACTTGTTCGGGTAATTTTTATTTGAACCGTACCCGCCCAAACGGGGAATCGGTTTATCCACGGGTACCCGTTTGCCCAAATGATACAAAATAACCAATTTCTAACCCTACTTGTTAATGTAAACATCCTTCGTAGTAAATTATATATTAAAATCACCATAAAACATACAAAAGTAAATGTTCAAGCAATCGAGCAGTTTTAGTCATAAATTCATTAGTATGACAAGCATCCAAAACATAATAAAAAGTAGTAAACAGAAGAAAGAAGGAACTTGGTTGAATCCTTGACAATGAGAAAGATTAGAAACCTCCGGCGGTAGAGCCGAATTGCAGGCCTAGCATCGTTCCATCTAGAAGGATCGAAGATAACTGTTCTCACCGTTAAGAAACAGAGCCCTGAGCCATAAATCTGTAATACACCGAGTTAGGGATGTTAGGGTTTTTGAAGTGGGCCTCTGGTGTATTATTCTTTATATACTTATATGAGATATACGATTTAGTGTACACAATTTAGCATATATACTTATTATTCTTATATAAAAAAGTTATAATTTATTAATAATGTTATGGATCGGGTAACGGTGCGGATATCTGCACCATTAAAGAACAAGGCAGTTTCGGGGCGGATAATGGGGCGGATTAGTATAGAACCATAACCGCACCATTATCCATTTAAAAGAATCGGGTATTCCCTGCCCCGTACCCGTTCCCCAGTCAAACCGGTTTTCCCCAGTTTGACCAAATCAGTTCAGTGCGGGTATCCAACAGGTTGATCGAAATTGCCATCTCTATATCCGGCCCTTATCAACCATAACTTCAGACATGTAAGGGTCGCAAATATAAAGATAAAATTCGTCATTTTCAGTCAAGATGGTATAATGAGTTTAATTGACTAGAGTACTCTCCTACTACACACAAGGCATATTGTTTTCTGTGCTTTCTTTTCTGTGATAATGTGCATTCATCTAAGACTTCTGCATTAGAGAGCACCGGATATGATGATCGGAAGAGAGTCCATCAGGGCAAGGAGCGTGTATTTCTTCTTCATATTGATAAATCTTCTGCATCTCCTCATAATAAATGTGTGACATGTGCTGATTCTTTGATGAGACCGTCTCAACATATTGATAAAGTCATTGAGAGAGTTAGCAAAGAGGAAGTTTTAAAAAATTGGTTCCGGTTAAAGATAACAATCATGACTGTTCAGTGGCTAGCGTTGCAAGGATGTGCATTCAGGGGCCATGATGAGTCTGCAAAGTCTTATAATCGTGGAAATGTGATTGAACTGAGAAGTTACACAACAATGTGGAATGCTGATGTGAAAGATGTTGTATTGAATAATGCGCCAAAAAATGCCAAATACACTTCTCCAGACATCCAAAAAGAAATTTTATCAATAATGGCTAACAGAGTTCGTTGGTTGATCCGAGAGGAAATAAGAGATTCTTACTTTTCTATCCTTGTTGATGAAGCAAAAGATGAGTCAGAACGAGAACAAATGGCGAATATCTTGAAATTCGTGAGCGCTACAGGTATTTTAACTCTGTGTTTTTTTATATTAAAGGCATTTCTGAGACTTCTTCTGAAACACTTAAGCATGAGATTATGAATGTTCTATCTCATTTCAATATTCAAGTTCACAAATTACGAGACCAATGATATGATGGCGCTACCAACATGCGAGGGCAGTGAAATGGATTGCAAGCATTGTTATTTAATGATTGTCCATTTGTGTATTATGTCCATTGTTTTGCTCATAGGTTGCAATTGACATTGGTGGTTTCACCAAAGCAATGTGATCCGATTTGGAAATTCTTTTCTATATTGGATAAAGTCATTAATATTGTAAAGTCTTCTACTAAGCGCAATCCAGAACTACAAGATGCTCATAGATTAGAAATTGATGTTATGTTGGAAAGTGGGGAGCGACAATCTGTACGAAGGGCCAACCAAATGTCATCTTTACAGCGTTCAGGTACAACTCATTGGGGCTCTCATTATGATTCTGTTCTAAGTATGCTTGAATTGTATAATGCAACTTGCAAGGTGCTTGAAAATATTGTTTGTGATGAGTCAAATTCAAAGGCCCAAAATGAAGCAGAGGGAGCATGCTCAAGTATTGAAAGTTTTAATTTTGTGTTTGGTTTGCATGTCATGAGAGCTATTATGGACATAACTGACTTTGTTTGTCAAGCATTTCAAAAGCAATATGTTGACATTTTATCTGCGCTTGGATATGTTTCAACTGTCAAAGCTCTTCTTCAGGGTTTGAGGGATAAGGGATGGGAGGATATGTTTAAGCAAGTAGAAGATTTTTGCTTAAAACAAAAAATCGTTATACTTGACATGAAGAGCAAAATGCGCCGTGGAAGAAAGAAGGTGGATGTTGAGCATTATTACCATTTCGAATATTTTCAAGTTGCAGAGTTAGAATCAAGATTTAATGAGACAACAATTAGACTTATGGAACTTAGTGTGACATTGGATCCGAAGAACCCTTTTGAATCTTATAATGCCGATCATATATACAAGCTTTCTGTGGAGTTTTATCCCGATGTTTTTGAGCAACACGAAAGGAATGCTTTAATGACTGAGCTCACGTTTTATCATGCTCATGTGGTAAAAATCTCTCAATTTCAAGTTCCTACTCTTGTAAAATTATGTGAAATGTTGGTGAAAACAAGAAAGGCCGAAAACTTTAAAATGATTACAAGATTTATACGTCTTGTATTAACATTACCAGTTTCTACGGCCACTACTAAGAGAGCATTTTCAGCGATGAAGCATGTCAAGACTGCGATTCGAAACAAGATGGTAAAGTAAAGCATGTCAAACTTTCTAGCTGATAATTTAGCAATTTTTATTGATAGAGAACTTGTTAGCACAATAGATATAGATTCTCTTATTGACAAGTTTGCTAAAGTAAAAGATCGCTGAGTGCAATTAACTTTGTAGCATAATGCATTATCTCTTTTGTAGTAACAACTTTTATGATAAATTGTGGTTAATTTTATTATTTAATATTTATTTAAAACTTTCTCTTGAGCTCAGGCCCATCCTTCTTTGTTATCTTGGCTACGCTCCAGCCTACTAATTGACCGAAAAAACACACACCAAATGTACGCGGTTAGCTACCCAAACTCCGGTGGGCAAGACCGAACTCCGAGGCGAGGACCGTGAGGTTACTTGAGTTGAGTGATCAAGAATTGTTCATTACCTTGAATGAACTGTCTTCCTCTTGAACATTTCTTGGCCGATCACCATCCTCTTTTTAATCTGCATCACCATCCCCGCTCCCCCCTACAGGGTAGCACGTGAAGAATCTTCGTTGCAGTTCAAGTAAATAATGTAAGCGAAAGTTTAGGGCGGGAGATGGGGCAGAAATTGAGCTGTGGGGAGACCCTTGAACACGGGTTCTTCACTGCAGTTCAAAATGGATAGCTTGAAGTAGTTAAAGCAATGGCTCTTGAGGACCCAACTGTTCTATTGAAGTTTAGCGCTGCTCGTGGTCATGGAAAGCTCTCTGCTTTGCATGTGGCCGCTGGCAATGGGCAAACCGAGGTCAATTCTGCTGCATCTTTCGAATACCAATTACCGTCCTTTCGTGAATGTGTGTCTCGTTCCTAAATGAATTTTTTCTTCTGTAGGGTATAGGTTCTCTGTATGTTTTTGGATAAGGGGTTAAATCCAGACATCTTGAATCACCACAAACAAGTGATGTGTATTTAGCCTAGTCGTGTTTACCTGTTTTTATTATATACTCTGTATGTACCTGTTGCCTTGAAATGTCATTTATTTAGTGTTCAAAATGTATGTGCATTAGGTATTTGGATTTCATTTCACTTCTTTATCTTTATGCAGACCCCATTGATGGTAGCTTCTATCCATGGAAAAGTTTCATGTGTGGAGAGGCTAAACGAGGCAGGAGCTAATGTATGCTCCTTGATTCCCTTCAATCCCACATTTGTTTCTTCATGTGATGGTGTACACTTTTATTATGTATACATTCCTTCCGTCCCCTAATACTCTAATAGTTTGCCATGTTTGACAGATCTGTGGAATTAAAAAATCAAAATGATGTTTGAGCTTTGTAGGTAGGAGATAGAAATGTAACCGAACACAAATTTGTTTCCTTATAGGGAGTGTCAGCCCTTTTTTGGATAGACAAATAACAAAAATTGGTAAAAGAAATAACTAATAAGGATAGAGGGAATAATTAATAATATAAACACGCACGCGCACCAACGTTGTTAATAGCTTCCCTTTAACAACATAGTGGAGAAGAGTGGCACCACCCGTACGAGTAGCTCAGTTGGTTGAGTGGTGGGAAATTTGGATCAAGGGACCAAAGTTCGAATCCCGCAGCGACCGTGTGGAGGTTACAACATCTGAAACGGGTTGTACCTCTAGAGCGCACGGGTATATGGGATTTACATCCTCCCACGTGCCCTGTCGGGTCAGGGTGTGGGGGGCTACGGGGGTGGGAGATTCCACTTTATTTAGATCAAGGAGAAGAGTGGCACCTAGCCGCTATAGGGTTCACTATAGCATGACAAATGGAAATAGTGATAATAGTTATAGCAGTAGCGGAGCAAATAGCGGCATCCGAAAGACACCTAATTTGACTTGGTTCGTTTAAAGGAAAGATAAACAACAACTAAAAAATCCTCTCCTTAAAAGGAAACAAGTGACATCTATTGTGAGAGAAATGGAGTAAATATATATATATTGTACGATCTTATTGTTACATTACACATTTTTATGCTTGAAATGTATTTGTTGATTGATGATTGTTCTTTCATTCCATTTGTTCAGATTCTAGTGTTTGATTCACTACATGAGAAGACGTGCTTGCATTATGCTGCGTACTATGGCCACTAAGATTACATTAATTCTATCCTCTGCTGCCCAATCTACCCATGTTGCACAGTCCTGGTTACTTACACATATCATCTTTCTGTATTTTGTGGTTGTTGTTGTTTAATTTGTTTCTCAGAGTGTATCATATCATATCAGTGGGGTAAGGGGGGGTCGGACCGTCAGATGTACGCACTCTTACACCTATACTAAAGCACAGAGAGACTGTTTCCGGGTGTCTCAGAGTGTATATACACTAGCAATGATGCATCTAGATTAGGCATCATGTACTCCAGTACTAGCATTGTTCTGAAAATGCATATCATTTGACCCTGATTACTCCCCAGCGCTATTTACAACAATGAGAGCACTAGGGAGACTTTCCCACTTTCCCTTGAACTCATTAGGTACAAAGTTGCTCATCATTTATATTGACTGTGTGGTGGTTAGGGGTTTGCAGGATATGTGAACACAAGGGATGGGCGTGGTGCAACCTCACTACATTTGGCCGCATGACACATGAGGCCGGAATGCGTACGTATTTTAGTAAACAATGAAGCTCTGGTATGTGCTTCAATTGGTGCATACGAGTATTACTTTCTCAACTATGGTTATGTTTATGCCTTGATAGGATGGGAAATTGCCCACAACAGGAGCAAATGAGATTTGGAATTCCAAAATAGGAATAGTATGTTTTTCTTTCCGAAATAAGAGTTGTTACTGTCATGTATGAAAAATACTGGCATGATTGAAAAATATTGTAATTAATTATAATAAATACTGTCATGTTAAATGCACTGTACTGCAACTATTTGGCAATTATCGCCTACAAGATGACAATAAATACTGTCATGTTAGATCCATTTCGTGAATAAAAACATAATAGTCCTATTTTGGAATTTCAAACATAATAGTATAAAGTTTCCAAAATTAGGACTCTAAATATGCGTAGGACATAAGTGCATATGTTTAGACTGTTATACTCTTAAATTAAAAATCGCATGGCTCCACCAGATTAAAAAGCCCTTGACTATAAATACTAGAATTTTGCAAACGACCAAACTGGCTGCTCGGAGCTTCCAAAATCGCAGACTCCATGGAAGAATTCGCAAACCAAAATTCTTCTCCAGATCTTACAAATTGCAATCGAAAAGAATGACAAAAAAGCAAGTTGATCGACTACGAATAAAGCCGACGAAGAAGAGATTAGAGAATAAGGATGTTGAGAACTATGAAAAGGAAGAAGACGATCTTCGCTTTAGCGATTCCAAAAGAAGGGTTTGCTACTACCCAGGACTCTTCTTCACAGCTTCCAAATCAATATGCTCCATCGGGTCCTTCCCTTCGTGGCTACAGCGAGGAGTGTACTTAAGTCCCTCCTTGCCCACTCCTCTTCCTCTCTTAACCCGCTTGGCTACGAAAGCAGTGGAGACAATTTTCCTTCCACGTACCGTAACACCCCTAAGCTCTATGAATGGTTCATCATATTACTCAGTGAAGACTCAAGAAGCATTCTGATTCTTTGATCATTGGAATCACCTCAGTTGAAATCCATCAATGTGGTTCCGTAAAATATCCTATCATTGAATTTGAAAGGCAGAACGAAGTAATTCGAAGCTGATTTTCCCTATGTTGTTCCAAAAGACTTGATCCAGCTACAACACGTCCTGGACAGTTACAACACGTTTGAGAGTAACAGTGGCAGTTTTTAGGAAACTGCCCAACCGTTCTAGAACTCGGTCTAGAACCACAGAGCTGGTCTACTGAAAGTTATACCTCGAGTTCTACCCCGAGTTTCACTAACATAAACAATTTGGAATTAAACTAGTTCTTATATACAAGTGTGCACTTCACACCTACTAACTTGTATTAGATCATAGTTCTAATTCTCATTGGCACTCATGTCATTTCCAATTACACAAAACGGCCGGTGACACTAAAAACACCAACAATCCTCCCCCATTTTAGTGTAACCCATGAAATGACATAACAAAGTTCACAAACTAAAAATTGCACATAAATGGAAATGTCGATACGATTGAATTTCCATCTTAGTATTTTACACATTCAAAATATTCAAGAATCGGGGTGTCCTACGGATTGAACCCTTCAACCCATTTGAATACCTCAAGATAAAATACATACAAGTTTCTATACTCAACTAGAATACAAACTTGACACAATTATAAAGCCGTGTGTCCTAATCCCATTCATGATCGTATAAAAGCCAAGTCCCAAGCTTTTTGAAGTGCGGCTACACGTCACTATCATATAGGTAATTCCTTTACTCGTGTACCTGCTTACACTTTATCAAAGGAATTATTAAGAAATAAATTCAGCCTCCCTACTACAGGTTCGAACACACACCTTGGGATGATTTTCATTGTGTGTTCCAATCCATTAAGTGTGAGCTTCCCGCATTGAATTCAGCCTCTAACGTTGTATAAGAGGGGAATTTGGTGTCTCACCATTAAGGACTAAATGGAATTTAAACCCATCCCTATAACAGACTTGTGCACTAAGTCCCGGGCCAAACTTTTGGTCAAGTGGTCCGCCAAGTTATGTTGCCATCTTACAAATTCCACCGAAATTACACCATTCATGATTAGTTCTCTAATCATACTATGTCTAACACCTAAGTGTCTAGACTTGCCATTATAAACATGACTATACACCTTAGCCAAAGTGGCAGCACTATCACAATGGATAGAAATAGGTGCAATCGGCTTCCTCCACAATGGAATCTCAAATATTAAATTTCTTAACCACTCCACCTCTTTACCAGCGGTAGCCAACGCAACAAACTCAGATTCCATTGTTGAACTTGTGATACAAGTTTGCTTCTTGGATGCCCAAGAAATGGCACCTCCTCTAAGCAAAAATACCCAACCACTTGTAGAAGAATGATCCTCTACATTGGATATCCAACTTGCATCCGAATATCCTTCTAAAACCGAAGGATACTCAAAGTAACACAAACTATAATCCATGGTTCCCTTTAAATACTTGAACACTCTCTTCATTGCTTGCCAATGTTGAGTACTAGGATTACTAGTATAACGGCTCAACCTACCCACGACATAAGCAATATCCGGCCTAGTGCTTGTCATGACATACATCAAACTACCAATAGCTTGAGAGTACTCAAGTTGTGAAACCGCCTTTCCTTTATTAGGCATCAACTTCACACTAGGATCCATGGGAGTACCAACGGGTGAACAATCACTATAATTAAACCTTTTGAGAATATTCTCAACATAGTGAGCTTGTGTCAAAGCAATCCCTTTGTTTACCCGTTTAATCCTTATACCAAGGATCACATCCGCCTCCCCCATGTCCTTCATGGAAAAACTTTGATGATAACAACCTTTTGGTTTCATCAACCTGATTTTGGTCAGTTCCAAAAATCAGCATGTCATCAACATAGAGACATATGATCACACCCGCCCTTAAGGCATCAAATCGGCTATAGACACACTTGTCTAATTGGTTTAAACTAAAACCATTGGACAAAATACCTTCATCAAACTTTTGATGCCATTGTTTGGGTGCTTGTTTCAGCCCATACAATGATTTGACAAGTTTACAAACCTTATGCTCATTTCCCGACATAACAAAACCTTCCGGATGTTTCATGTAAACTTCCTCATCAAGATCACCATTTAAAAATGCCGTCTTGACATCCATCTGATGTATAATCAGATTGTGTATAGCCACCAAAGCAAGTAACAACCTAATGGTTGTAATTCGAGCAACCGGCGCATACGTATCAAAATAGTCAATTCCGGGTTTTTGTCTAAAACCTTGAATGACCAACCGAGCCTTGAACTTGTCAACAGTTCCATCCACTTTCATCTTCTTTTTGAAGATCCATTTGCAACCTAAGGGTTTAGAACCTGGTGGCAAATCCGACAACACCCAAGTGTTGTTCTCCATAATTGATGACATTTCATCATCAATTGCCTCCTTCCAAAAGGAAACATCTCAAGAATCCATTGCCTCTTTAAAGGACTTTGGATCATCCTCAACTTGGTAACAATATGAATATTGTACCCCCACTTCGTCCCTTGAACCTTCCACTAAATACAAGTGAAAATCGGGACCAAAGTCTTTCACGATGCGGTCTCGTTTGCTTTTCCTTATTTGTGGTGCTTCGGGATTCAAAGCACCATCCAAACATTCTGGAACTTGCACCTCACTAGTTCTTGGAACTAGTTGCTTTGGTCTTTGAATTGATGAAAATCTCATCTTATCAAAGATCACATCCCGAGACTCAATCACGGTGTTAACCGCTACCGCATCATTAGGTTCTATTACATAAAACCTGTAAGCCTTGGAATGTTCAACATACCCTATGAATATGCAATAAATTCCCCTTTTCCCCAAGTTTTCCTTTTGGGCTCCGACAATTTTACAACTGCCCTACAACCCCAAATCTGAAAATATTTCAAATTCGGCGCTTTCTTGTACCAAAGCTCATATGTGGTTATCTTGTTCCTTTTATTTGGAACCCTATTTAGAACATAGCAGGCCGTGAGCATGGCCTCTCCCCAAAACCCTTCACTCATACCCGAGTAGGAAAGCATGGAATTAACCATTTCCTTTAACACTCGATTTTTCCGTTCAGCCACACCATTTTGTTGTGGTGTATACGAAGCCGTGGTCTCATGAATGATTCCAACAGATTGAAAATAATGGGGATCCATATATTCTCCTCCCCGATCAGTCCTAAGACATTTAATCGGATTACCCAATTGCAATTCAACCTCGGTTTATACACTTTAAATTTCTCTAAAGCTTCATCCTCAGTGTGTAATAAATACACATAACAAAACCGAGTTGAATCCTCAATAAAAGTAACAATATACTTTTTATTGCCAAGGGAAGGAGTTGAGTGAAAGTCACATAGATCACTATGTACAAGATCCAAAATAGCCGAATTCCTATCAACATTAGGAAACAGTTGTTTTGTGATCTTAGTAAGCATGCAAGTCCTACACTTATCATTATTAATATCAAAAGCCGGAATTAAACCATCTTTAGACATTTCATGCATTTTTCTAAAATTAACGTGGCCTAATCTAGCATGCGAAATCATACAATCATTCATGGAAGATACCACAAAAACAGAATTATCACTAGAAATTAATTTATTCACAACATTTAAACGAAACATGCGATTTGATAAATATCAAAACCAACAAACACACCACCCTTGAACAGAATATATTTATCGGATTCAATCACTTGTTTGAACCCCTAATTATTCAACATACTTCCCGAAACAAAATTCTTTCGAACCTTCGGTACATACAAAACATCAAACAACGCAATTGT